AAATGCATACTACTTTTATACAACACAATTATGCTTTAAGAAACTCAACAACAGGGCTGGGGATATGGCCCAAGTGAAACTCAACAACAAAATGCCTCTTAGTATTATCTCATAATTTAGGGAACAAGAAAATTTAATCAGGTGTTTACTATAAAATTCTTCTTAAGTGAACTTTTTTTTCTTTTTGGAGCAAAAATAAAGCTGACTTTCCTAGAAAACACTATAAAGAGACAGAAGCCAATGACCCTCTAATTCCCCTTTTCTATAGTATGAAAATTATCCTAAGTTGTAAGACTCCTAAGAAAAGAAACTATAATAATAGGAAGAGACTCAGCCTTGCTAACCATAGGGTTCTTTTTCCCCCGCTTCTTCCCCCCAGTCTTTCCCATAAAAAGCAACCTCTACCAATAGAATAAAGCATCCTTTACAAGTAGCTCCCTACAGGATCCTATCTCTCCTTGAGTGCTTACCACAATCTGATTTCTGGACAGCTGACCCAAAGTTTGTAGACTTTACTGATCTTCAGAAAGCCACTGACTGGCTAAAGTCTTATTGGTGAACAGAGTCAAAAATCAGATGCCCCTGCCACACTTTACAGAATGAGGAGTTGGACAACAAAGTTACGTTTGGCTGTACTGTGGTGAAACATATGAGGTATCTTCTTTTTGTCTTCAAACAGCCACGTTTGGGCTGAGTAGCTCAATTACATCTTCAAAAAACTGAACTCCAGTTCTTGATGGAGACAGAGGAAGGTCATTGAGGAGGTGGTTCAGCTCAAGAGCTAATTGAAAAATGCCTTTTGATTCAGTCCTGCTTGTGCATAGAAGTCATCTTCTGGATGGAAGAGGGAGTGAGATGACCTAGAGTCTTGAATTGGTGGATCTGCAGGAACAGAAACTAAATACAGTGGAGACCTCTTAACTGAGTAACACCACGAGATGGATTTCCTGACAAATGTGTCAATATAAACTAAATATATAAAGATCAAACATGTGCATTGGGAGTGATCATGCACTGACTTTTTCCAGATATCAAATACATTTGTATCGTTTTAGGAATAAATGCTCTCCCAGTAAGTTGTTATAAAGCAATTTTCAGAAAAAAAAAAAAAAAAAGCCAATTTAAAAAAATACACCAATTCAAATAAGAGTGCCATATTCTCACTTTAAAGTCAGTTTTCCTTTTGAATGACTTTTCTCCAAATAACAAAAACTATAATCTATCTAGTCCATATAGCGTCAGTACTAACATATGTCAACTGTTAATTTGACATGGATCATTTACATTTTTTATCCTCTTAAGAAATGGAATTCAAATACATACAAACCCATCCCTAAATAATCTACCTGCTCAAAAATTCTAAGACTTAAAGTAATCAAGTTTACTCCTACTTGCCAATCAAAGTAAGAGTTATGTATCATGAAGTCAGGCAATGTTTAAATGTGAATACTGGCTATCTCAAACTTCCCTCAAGCTTTGATCTGGAAAAAAAAAAAAAAAAAAAAAAAACTAAGAAAGCCCACAACCAAATTACTGTAGATCTAATTTGAGTCTTCTCTATGTAGAAAAAAGAATTTTGATGAACATTTGATTACTTGCTTCCATTTATAATTTGGATACGTAAACTTACGGTATATACTCTCATAATTATCAGACTATGGGCCAGGAAACTATGGCCTGTTAGTCAAATCTAGCTCACCACTTATTTTTATTAAAAAGAAAAAAAAAAGTGTAACCAACACACAACCATGCCTTTTAATTTATGGCTACTTTCATGTTGCAATGGCAGAAAAAGTAGTTGCAACAGAACTACAAAACCTAAAATTCTGGGCTGGGAGTGTGGCTCAAGTGGCAGAGCACCTGCCTAGCAAGCACAAAGTCCTGAGTTCAAATCCCAGTACCCCCCCAAAAAAAATCCCTAAAATATTTACAATTAATCCTTTATGGAAAATTTGCTAACTCTTAACCTAGATAATTATCAAGACATTTAATACAATTTATACTTTAACTTGTTTGAAATGAAATAGAAATAATATATAGAATTAAAATTAGATATAGGTCAACCATAACGACCCAACACAAAAGGAAAACAAAAGTGAAATAAGTCCCAAGAGGGCAATTTACCTGGTCCCAATTCTGATTAAGAGGTTGATTCTATCTGAGCACTAAGCCAGGAGGGGCAGATTTGATATGTAACATACATATTCAAGAGTATATATAAATGCCATGGTTATGTCATGCAAACTTTATCTCAATAAAAAGATTTTTTTTTCCGGGGCAGGGAGAGGCAGTAATACTGGGGCTTGAACTCAGGGCCTTTACCTTGAACCACTCCAACAGCCCTATTTTTGTGAAGGATTTTTCGAGATAGGGTCGCGCAAACTTTTTGCCCGGGATGACTTTGAACTGCGATCCTCCTGATCTCTGCCTCCTGAGTAGCTAGGATTACAGGCGTGAGCCACTAGCACCCAGCAAGAATTTTTATTTTTATTTTTGGTGGTACTGGGGTTTGAACTCAGGGCCTTATGCTTGCTAGGCTTGCTAGTCAGGCGCTCTATCGCTTGAACCACTCCACCAGCCCTATTTTGTATTGGGTTTTTTTCAAGATAGAATTTCTCAATCTATTTGCCCAGGTGGCTTTGAATCATAACCCTCCTGATTTCTGCCTCCTGTGTAGCTAGGATTAGAGGCATGGCGTGAGCCACCAGTGCCCAGTAATAAAACATTTTTAAGATAAAGAGTATATACAGTATTTTACAGGCTTCTACCTTTAAGTTGGCCACATTACAGTACAGTGGTTAAATATGGAAGTTACATCTTACCTAATAATGTGGTTTCTCCAAAATCTCTTAGATCATCTCAGACCCTTGTGTATATTTCTTCTTTGCCAGTAGATGGAGACAACACCACTGAAAGTTTAAAAGACATCATTCCCTGTTTAAAGGGAGCTTGCTGGTCTGAAAAAACTGGGGGAACCCTAACCCAAAGATTTCTTCATTTTTTAAAAGCAAAATAGAATGGCTATTCCAAAACCAGAAATCCAAAAGAATGTACCCAATATTAACTATGGACATCCTGATAAGCTTAATTAAAGGGGAACTAAATCTGTCCTTGAAGTAGTGAAGAAAATTAATATAAAAGTGTAATCATCTCCATAGCTTCTAAGGTTCAAACTTCCTGTTCATTGTTCTTTAGATTATTTTTCAGTTTCAGAAGTTGTAACTCAAAATATATAAGGAAAGAATTCTTAGAATTCCACAAAGGTAGAGGCAGTACATATATACCTTTTGTTAAGTAATAGTCATATGTACTGCTATAAGCCTTTTATTCAAAATAAGACAACTATCAAGATCCACATAAAATAAGAACATTTTAAAAGAAGAGTTAAAGCAGAAATGGTGGAAGCATAAGAAAAAATTTCAATTTTATGGTCATAAAACCATATTGGTCAAAGAACCCAATTTATCTACTTTCCATATTTCCCTACTAGTATTACATAAGCAACCAAAGAGCCATCTCTAAGAAATGTCAAATCTGAAAACTTAAGAAGTAATCTCAAAATCATTATCTGCCTACATTTTCCAAGTAGCTTTCCATTCCAAATTCAGAGATCTAAAAGCCACAGTCTTCAAATGCAATCTCCCAAAAAAGTCCCCCAAAACAAAAAGAAAACAATAAAAGTTTATTGAACTAAAAAGAGAAAACTTAAGTTACTGCCATACTATTTATATTTGCCACAAGACTCCTGTCCTTGAAGTGCACTAAACAAGAGCAATATATCTGGCAGAAAATATCCTATTAAGAAAAAGATTAGCCTTAAACCAAATAATAACCAGTTAAAAAAAAAATAAGGAAAATCTTAAAATCTTTTCTTTTTATCTACATTTTGATCATCTAATGATATTAGACTAAAATATCATCTAATGATATTTAGGATTAAAATCAGCTTACTAAAACGAGAGATGAATATAGTATTCAGGTATGACAACACCTATCTAAATTAAATTAGAACTGACAATTACTGAAAATAAATTCTCCTATGACTCTTACTAGATAAAATATTTGGTGAAGTCACCCTGAAGCACAAACTTCTATTTAACTTTGAATTTTTATGATTCCTGTGAGAAAGTAACTAAAATCTACCAAGAAAACTAAGACACATTCTAATTGCCTATTAGGAACACTTAAACAACCACAAAGACCGTTTCATTATCCACATGGAAAATGATCTGTGTGACTTTAATCCTTGGGGTGGCTTCCTCTCAACACACAACAACCTTTCTAAGCCTTCTCCAATCTTTCAACAACTGGTATGTATGAAGGTAAAGCTAATTAAATAACACAACCACCAACACGAAAAGGCACTATGCACTTTTTAAATAGCATCTCTTATGATAGAAAAATCTTAAAGACAAAGTAAACACTATGGCCAACACAGATAATCTTAATGATATTTATATTTTGTACTATTACCTGTCCATCAACATAGATGAGAAATGCTTATACCCAAATTCTTTACATAAAGCAGTGACTACTTGAGTGTCCTGAAATTCTGTGGTTTATATAAAAGTAGGCTCACCAAACTATAATCTTACAGAGTATATTACTATAGGAAATAAAAATGACCAACAAGGAATGAGTTTTCTTCATATTAATTGGATTTATGAAAAAAAACACCAGGTGTTAACCTGGCAGTCTCCTCTTGGGGATCTGCATCAGTGCTCCTGCCTCCACCTGCTGGCAAATAGATTATGAAACTAGCAGATATTACTGGGTAAGAAAAGTTAGTATTTTTTGGTAACAAATTAATGTTCCTTTATGTAACTATCTAGCATGATGCTACTTTGTGTTAACAGACCACTAAAATATTGATGAAATTCATTAGAAAGGCTACAGGAAAACACACTGACCATCACAAAAAAAGATTTGTTGTTGTTATTGTTGTTTACAATGTTAACTAATAGGTCAAAAATCAAGTTAAAAAAAAAAATCTTAGTTACCTGATAAATGACATCTTGGAAAAGGACTGGAAAAGTAAGTGCTGCATCTTCTAGCTCATTTAGACTACAGTGCACTAGTGTTTCATCCTTAAAAACAAAACAAAACAAAACAAAAACACAAAAACCATACTGAAAGAAACAAGATATTAAATGAAACTTTGACTCATACATACATACACACACACACACAATTTTTATTTCTTTATTTTGGTAGTACTGGAGTCTGAACTCAAGACCTCACACTTGCTAGGCAGATGCTCTACCAAATTTAGCCACTCTGCCAGCCCAACACACACATGTTTTGGTTTTGCCTTGTGTTACTGGAGTTTCAACTAAGGGCCTCATGCTTGCTAGGCAGGAACTCTACCACTTGAGCCATGCTGCCAACCGTCACTTTTTCCCACCATGCCAGCCTGAACTGCCATCCTCTCATTTATGTCTCTTGCATAGCTGGAATGGCAGTCACACACCACCATGCCCAGCTTATTGGCTAAGAATGAGCCTCACTAACTTATTGCCTGGGTTGGCCTCAAACTGTGATTCTACCACTCTCCACCTCCCTCAGCCACTGTTCCCAGCTTTTTTTGGGGACAGGGACTTACTATAGCTCAGGCTGGCCTCAAACTCAAGATCCTCCTGCCTCTGTCTTCCATCTTCAAATGGTAATTTTATGTGGTCATGATCACCAAAAAACATTACAGAACCCAATCATGTGGAATTTTGTATTTAAAATACATTACTAGTTGTGGCATCTCAATTTAGGATAGGATTTTCTAAAGTCACTGGTTCTCAAGTATAGTTCCTGGACCAATAAACATCACCAGTATCTGGGAACATTGTAGAAATGCAAGTGAAATTCTCCAGCTCCACTTAAGATGACTCACAAACAAGGCGAGGTTGCAGCTCAGCAATCTTTGTATTAATAAGCTATTCAGGCAACTCTGATGTATGCTCAAGTTTTAGAACCAGGGCTCTGAGTTTTGTTGCCAACTTTCTGTTAAAACCACTTGCAGATATATATATATAATTTTTTTTTCCCAGACAGTAACTCAGGGTACTATGCATCCCAAGCTGGTTATGAACTAGCAATCCTCCTGCCTCAACGTCCTGAGTGCATGTGCCACAGTGCCTGGCTTCATCTTCTTTTACTTGGGTATCAAACTACACATTTCAAGGCATTCACTTAGCATTTTTTAAAAAAATGTGTTTCTTCCTATAAATGAATCAAATTCTACTACTAATTAATCAGCCTATATTCTTTTACCTACTTCTATAAAATCATTTATGCTTAGCCCATTATCTTTCCTTCTCTATTTATCCTTCACACTGAAATCAAAATAATCTGGCCAAACTTAACCACATTAACCTCTAACACCAAAATGTAGCAAAATTCCATTTTCTCCTTCCTTGCATATCAAATATGAACTGGTCAGTTTTGAAACTTTTCTTCCTCTTTTTACTTATCCTCTTAAAAATGTCTTAGGACTTCTGGGTCCTTCTTTTACATTTCTTTGCCTAGGCAAAAGCTATGGTGCTAAACTCCCAAAACAAAACTAAATTATATGATAGTTAAAAATCTGAAAGGAGATGGAGATCCAGAGGACTGCAGTTCAAGGCCAAGCAGACAAAAAGTTATTGCTCCCACCCCCTAATCTTAATAAGCCAAGTGTGGTGGTACACACCTGTGATTCCAACTACACAAGAGGCCAAGGGTGGGAAGACTGCATTCTGAAGCCAGCCCTGGGCAAAAACATGAGACCCTATCTAAAAATAACTAAAGCAAAAAGGGCTGGAGGCATGGCTCAAGTAGAGGAAGACTACCTGACAAGCATGCGGCCTCTAGTACAAATTCCAGTACTGTACTCAAAAGCAGGGTGGTAGAGGGGGTCTTTTTTCTCAAGATAAATTTTCTATGAAAACTAACTTACATCTCCAATTATAGGATACCAGTGTCAAATATTAAGCAATGAAGCATTTTCTTGTACAATCCAATACTGTTTTTGCTAATATCACAAAACTGTAAGCATAAGGTAAACTGGGTTACCAAAAGGTATGAAGTATTCAGTTTTCAAAGGTCTTCTAGGATCCAAAGTATGTGAACATGTATAAATACAGATTTATTTTTCAGACAGGAGTCTTGCCTGTTGCCTAGGCTGGACTTCAACCCCTGGGCTCAAGCCGATCTCCTGGCTCAGCCTCTCCAGAAGGTTCTGTAAGTATGAACAACCATATCCCACACCAGGCTCTTCAAAATATGAATTTTTAAATCACATCCAGTGAGCACACTGAAGGTTTTACTAGTCAGCAATAAGAAATTTTACTTTTGGTATTAGGTAATATGTAAAAATAAAAACAGGAGAAGGAATATGGTCTTACAGTTAACTCACTGAGACCCAAATTATATTTGGTCATTCAGTGAAACACAATCATGACAGAAAAAAAAAACAGGAAATTTTAAATTTAGGCATAAATCTAAGGAAATGAAATTATAATTTCTTAGGAGATTAAAAAAAAAAAGGTCAGGACTGGGGACATGGCTCAAGTTATAGAGCACCTATCTAATAAGTATGAGGCCCTGAATTCAAACCCCGGGGGCCACAAAAAGCACATTCATAAGCCACAGTAATCCTTAATGAAGATAAAAGTATTAATAAAATATATTTCTTTTTTTAAAAATAAAAAATCAAATCAGGAAAATGCTGCTGGCACACACCTGTAATTCTAGCTACTAAGGAGGCAGAGATCAGGAGGATCATGGTTCAAAGTCAACCTGGGCAAGTAGTTCCAGAGACCATATCTCAAAAAACAAAAACAAGCACAGAACAGGGCTCAGAGTGGCTCAAGTGGTAGAATGCCTGCTTAGCAAGCATGAGGCTCTGAGTTCAAATCCCAGTACTACCAAAAAATTATATATATACACACACACACACATATACATACGTACATATGTGTGTGTGTGTGTGTGTATATATATAGAGAGAACTATATAAATAAAATCATTCAGGCACTGGTGGTAGAGACTGAGATCAGGATTACTGTTCAAGGCCAGCCTGGGGAAACAGTTCATGAGACCTTATCTCCAAAACTACTAGAGCAAAAATGGACTGGAGGTGTGGGTCAAGAGGTAGAGCACCTACTTTGCTAGTGTGGAGTCCTGAGTTCAAACCCCAGTTCCACCAAATAAACAGAATCATGAGGCTGGGATATAACTCTGTTAAGAGCATTTCCCTAGCATATGTAAGCCCTAAATTTAATTCCCATCACCACAATAGATGACTGGATGGATGGCTGAATGGATGAACGGGAAAAAAATGACAGGTTCTCTGAATATGAGGAAAAGGTCTGGGCACAGTGTCTCATGCCTATAATCCCAAATACTTGGGAGGCAGAAATAAGATAATTATGGTTCTATGACAGCCCAGGCAAAAAAGTTAGCAAGACCTTATCCAAAGAACAAGCCAGGTGTGGTAGTACTCATTTGTAATCCTAGCTACACAAAAAAAGAGGATTGTGGTTCAAGGCTGGACCAGGGTACAAAGTACAAGAGCATATCTGAAAAGTAACTAAAGCAAAAAAGGGGGTATGCCACAGGTAGTAGAGCACCTACCTACCAAGTGTAAGGTGATGAGTTCAATGCCCAGTATGGGGGAGGGAGGGAATCAGATGGGGAAGAAAACTCATTTAAATATAAAAATTAAAGTCTAATTTATTCTCAAAGGTAACTGATCCATGGGGGGGAGAGATGATGGGGGGAATGTAAATAATGTACAATACAAGTCTAATCAGAATTGAACCACACCCCCCCAATATAATGAATATATCCTAATAAAAAAGGTAACTGATCCAACCAACCTTGAAACCCTGACATTAGTCTATATTTTAAAGACATTTCAGAACACCCAGAGCAATATTAAAGTAAGTATGATGGCTACTCACTTATTTTTGGCATTTTGGACTGTTATTTTAAAAAATAATTTAACCTCTTTATTCTTTCTACCTCAAAAAGTAATATACTTACCAAGTCTAAAACTAGGGAGAATTCTGGTGTGCTTCTTGTTTTCAGTGGAAGAGCAGGTTTCCTATTTAGTTGTTCTTCTGTCAGTGGTGGAACATGTTTGATGAAATAATACCTATAAATCAAGTTTGAAGAGTTTCAACATTTCTACTTATTATAAATATAAAACATATTACTAAATTTAGCCTATTTAAGAATCTTTAATCGAATAAAGCACATTTAACCCCACAAGCCAAATTTATGAAGCATGTAAGTGAAAATATACCAACTAATACCTCTGTAACTCAGTAAAATATCAATACCTAGAGGTTGCATGCTTTTCATAAAATAGATGCTCTTCCCTTACTACCAACCATAGGGTGACCTTGTGATAAAACCCATCTTAAGCTGAAAATTTCCTAAGATGAAAATACATTTAAAAAAAAAAAAAGTTTCATTAAAAATGCATTTAATATACCTAACCTATCAAGTACCAATGCTTAGGAGAGTGAGAAAATAATTGAGACAATGCATGATCACATGGCTGAATGGGAGCTGCAGCTCACTGTATAGCATCATGAGAGTATATCCTAGTATATTCTGATTGTCCTCCCGCGGTGGGGGAGGGGATCAAAGGGGGGAATTCTCTACTGAACGTACATCTGTTTTGAACCATCATGAAGTTGAAACATTGTTAAATAAAGACAAAAAAAATTTTTTTTGGCAGCATGGGATTTGAACTCAGGGCCTTATGCTTGCTAGGCAGGCACTCTTACCTCTTCAGCCACCCTGCCAGCCCAAAAGACAAAAAATTTAAAAACTAGAAAAAAAACTCACGGGTCAAATACTTCCCAGTCTTCTTCGTATGTGGCCTCTGCGTGGGCTGATGAATAACCACTCTCTGGAGTTACTGGTGCTATTTAATAAAATCATATACAAAAGGTTACTTTCATTTACTCAATGCTTCCCATCAAGTATACATTTTTACTGTTTCATTACATTAAATGAAATAAGGCAGGCACAGAAAGATAAATGATCTCACTTTTATACAATCTAAAAGTTGGTTTCATAGAAGCTGAGAATAGAATGGTGGTTACTAGAAGCTGGAGGCGGGGGAAGAGCTTGATCAATGGGTACCAAATTACAGTTAGGAGCAAGAAATCCTGGTGTTGGGCTCAGTACATAGCTCAAGTGGCAAAGTGCATACCTAGCAAACACCAGGCCCTGAGTTCAAACCCCAGTACCACCAAAAAAACCAAACCCAAACTGGTGTGCTGCTACTGCACAGCAGGTGACTTTAACAACATGTACAATATATTTCAAAAAGTTGAAAGAAAGGGTTTTGAACGCTTTCATCATCAAGAAATGATGTATGTTTGAGAAGATGCCTGATTTAAACATTATACAATGCATACATGTATTGAAATGTTACATGGCACAACAATTGAGGGGGTGAGATTGAGACAGTCTTGCTATGTAGCCCAGATTATACTCAAGACACATCATACAGCCCAGCCTAGCCTCAAACTCATAACCATCCTACCTCAGTTACCCCCCCACCAGTGCTGGTAATTCAGGATTGTGCCATCTTGCTCAGCATTTTCTGTGTGAGACAAGGTCTCACTATTATAGCTCAAGATGGCCTCAAACTCACAATCCTCATGCCTCAGCCTCCCAAGCATTGGGAATATGTGTAATTTTTTATTTTTCATGAAATGATTAAAAAGAAGTCTATAAACCCCATAAAGACTTAAGAAAAAAATCTACGTATACTTCTCCTAGGAATCTCAAATCTATCTGTCTTGTTAAAAAGTAGACATCATGGTTTTAGAAAAATCAGTTCACTTCTAACTTACAAGCAACTTAATAATTAAGAAGCAATTGTACATTCTGTGCTACATAGTTCATTCTGTTTGGGATAAGAATGTGTCAATTGATAGAACTTTAGAAATATTATGCTGAAAGTTTTGAGATAGTAATTATAATAAATTGAAGGAAAGACAAAAGTCCCTTATAAGCTAAACACGTAAGGTGTCAGACAAAAGTTTAAGGTTGAATCCATTCTTCTATAGAAATGGAATGTTGGTGGATAATAATCTTTTAGGATAAAAACTACCCTTTTTAATATTTAGCATGTATTAACTCCTTTTCAGACAAAGTTAGTATGTGTAATGTTCAATGAATGGTATCAGGTATCTAACAGAATTTTTATTCATCCGTGACAATTAGACAAGGAGATAATGAGAGATCAACCAGCTTCTTGTTTTGAATTCCAGTTAACCCCAGAAAAAAGAGTATTTGAGCTCCTATATGTTAAGTATTTTTCATGTTTCATGCATTTAGCATTCAACACCCTGTATTACTGTTTGTTTTGTTTGGTTTGATAGTACTGGAGTTTGAACTAAGGGTCTCACACTTGCTAGGCAGGTTCTCTATCACTTAAGCCACATCTCCAGCCCCTATTTATTATGATTTATTCCAGACAGGTCTCACAGTGTAGCCCAGGCTAACCTATAACTCTCAGTCCTCCTGCCTCAGCCTCCCGAGTGCTGGAATCACAGGTGTGCACCACACCAAGCCTGGCTCTTTATTTATTTTGAACTACTTATTTTTAAAGTGGGGTTTCATTATGTTGCCCAAGCTGGTCTTGAATTTTCAGGCTCAAGTGATCCTTTTGACTCAGCCACAGAAGTACCTGGTATTACAGGGATACACTACTACACCTAGCTGTTTTAAAGCTAAGAATACTGTGTTTCAAATTGGTAAGAGCTTAAATAAGTTGTACAGAGTCACAGAGCCAAGTAAGTGAGAGAGCCAGCCTTCTAACCTTCCTGTTCTCTTTGGCTACACTCTCAAGGTTCAGAAAAAGTGACACTCATATGTCATGTGTCATTCATATGTATCTTTTAAGATCAATAACTGTTATCTCCATCAGTCTTTACACTTTACCCTAGTAACTGCAATGTGTCACCATGTCATTTTGGTAACTTATTTATAATAGCACTCCTATATTGTACAGAAATTTTTTTGTATACTTGGTTCTTTAATTAGATTATGAACTCTTCAGGGTCAAGGAGCACATCCTACTCATCTTTATCAACAGTGCCCAAAAAACAGATGCTCAAATGAGGAAATAGATGAATGAGAAAACTACAGCAAGTCTTACTTTCCCTTTCTGTAACAACTAAGGTTGCAGAAATCCCTTCTCCATCTCCACAGTCAACAGAAAAAAAGAAATACAAAAACTTACACAAAAGCACATAAATCACACAAGAAGCCTACAACCATGGACTTTATAACTTTACTATTCCAGCCTTATAATATGAGGCAAAGTAACCAGCATAAAATAATAGGACAAAGGTAAGTCAATTTCCAAGTTTACCCATTCAAGATGAACCATTCATTCATAATATTGTTGATCTGCTTGTTATATTCAGTAGCATTCTTAAATTTGGGGCACAATTACAGATGTGAACTATAAATATCTTTTACTGGATGAATTTAAAATAAATTATTTCCTCTGTTGCTTTTCTCTTCTTCATATTGGTATTACTGGATTGTGTTATACAGAAGTTTCATTTTTCTTTTAAATGTTTTTCAGTGTTTTTTTTAAAGTTTCTTCTTTGTATCTAAAGAAGTATATTATTCTACTTCCTTATACCAAATTGTATCTCCTAACTAATACACATTTACTGGGCTCTCTCAAATACCTGGCACCACAGAAACAGAAATCAAATCCAAGATAAAATCTCTGCCCCAAAGGGAGAACATGGCCATGCTTAGTTTTATTTCACCGTTAGGAACGAGCACAATTTCATTTTACACCTTTTATGAGTGTCTATCACGGCTCTCAGAGGTGGTAAATCCAGCTGATCTCACATTCCCACATTTCAATGGCACCTGGCTCAGGAATGCAACAATTATGTTAGGGTGTAAGAATCCAGAGTCTGACTGCAAAGCTTGAGTTTAAGATCCAGAACAGAAGTCCTTTGGGGACTGGGAGTGTCATTTATGTATGGAACAAATCTAAAGGTATGATACTAAATTGATCTAGGTGGAGACCTCACATCCAAGAGTCTAAGACTAGTGCACATAATGACTGGGTCTTTGGGACAAAGTTTTATTTCCAATTTTAATTTTTGCTAACTTCAAAGAAGAAAGACTTATGCATTTAATTTGCTCATTTAAGAAAAAACTATGAAATTTGATATTTTTATAAATATTCACGAAGGTGTATTAAAAAAGGAAATTTCTTCACCTGTAAGGGGTGGGATATCACGGTTAACTGTTTCTTCTGCTTCTTCTAAACCATTATTTATCGAGGGCCTCACTTGAACTGCTTGATTTGAGTAAGCTGCTCCATTAGTTGATGTCGTGGTACTGGTAGTGATCTCATCCACCTGTTCCATATCAAGTTGTTTTACTATCTCTTCAGCTTCCACAGCCTGTCCTGGGGAATCTGATCCTGATGTTCCTGAAATCATGATTCAGTGTTCTATCAATCATTTAAACTCAAAGGTTTAGAAAACCTACATGAAATTATCACTATACAATTTATTTATTTAGACTGAGAATTCAAACAGGAACAAATCTGAGGATACCACTGTTTAGTGAGTGTTTTATAGGCATTCTAAACAATGAGAAGTAAATATTTTACGCCGGGTGCTGGTGGCTCATGCCTGTGATCCTAGCTACTCAGCAGGCAGAGATCAGGAGGATCAAGGTTCAAAGCCAACCCGGGCAGATCGTTCATGAGACTCTAACTCAAAAAAAACCTTATCACAAAACAAAAACAAACAAACAAACAAATGCTGGCACAGATGGCTCACATCTGCAATCCTAGCAACTCAGGAGGCAGAGAGCAGGAGGATCGCAGTTCAAAAGCGAGCGTAGGCAAATAGTTCGAAAAACCTTATCTCGAAAATTCCTAACACAAAAAGGGCTGGTGGAGTGGCTCAAGGTGTAAGCCCTGAGTTCAAAACCCAGAACCACAAAAAAAAAAAAAAGGGTAGTATTTACAGTTTTTAACTTCTCAAATAGTTTAGAAACATTTATAGTCAAATAACCACAATTTAAAACTTTTCATTAAAGCAAATATCATTTACTAAGTATGTACTATGTCAAGGGCATTTTATATATATGAATATATAATATATTCATTTATATATAATATGAAATGAATATGAGATAATGAATATTATCTTCAAACAGTTCATAAGGATTCTAAGCATTCTAGCTATTGTGGAAAATTATAGTTTTTCAACTAGAAGTAGTTATCCAAGAATGTGCTAAGTGTTCCCCTAACCATGAGAACACTTTTATTAAAAGACAGGACAACTTCTCAACAAAACTCCTTATCAATAATAAAGAACTGAAGTTATCCAATTCTTCCACTATGAAATGATCCCAACTCTGTGTCCTTTAGGAATCTCTCAAATGTCATTTTAAAGAACAAAAGTAACAAAATCAACTTCCAGTATTTTCAACTTCCTTACAGAATGGATTTCTTCTCCCTTGCCACTTTAAATTTAACCTCTTTCCTAAAAACGTCTCTTTGCCCGATACCCTCCCTGTCAATGCTATGTATTCTCCCCATACCCAGTATATTTACTGAATCAGATTTCATTTATCTTCATTGCTGCTGCCAGATGACAGATTTTCCACTAATGTATGTGGGGGAGGGAGGTGCCTGCTTTTTGAGACTGATGTTATTATGACTATATAATTCTTTACTTATCTTCATTGCTGTCATCTACCATATACTACCAGGATACTCTCAATGATAGAAGTTCAACACATAGCTACTGGTTTAGCACTCTATTTAATGTGGTATTTTCACTTGCTGTTATTACAGGTGATGTCAATGACTCATCCAATGACTAATCCTCAAAGTTCTTGCCCTCCTGAGCTCTATCTATCTTCACTTACACTGCTCTTTAGCAGTTATTACAATGGCCATAAGCTCGAAATCAACACTAGCTGTTCACCTCTAAAACCTAAGATATATTAGGTACAATGTAAAATTAATATATTAATCCCTTACCACAACCTCTTAACATTTATCAATTATCAGTCAGATTCCTATTATATGTGATAAACACCAGTCTCTTTTATTCCAAGCACATCCCTTAACAGCTTCTTCCCTACCCTCCTCACTTTGATTTCATTTATCACTAGCCCACTCTCAAGCCAGTCCCCTCAGCTTTCTTATCCCTTATCCTTCCACTAACATCCATCAAGAAATTCCTCTCCAATCAATGTAACCAACAAGCATCACAGGCTACTAAAGGAAAGCATACAATTATAAAGCCTGGTCATACTTCAAATAACACTCCTCCATTGTTAACCAGGCATGTATGCTGCTCAGCACTTTCATGTCTCACCTACTTTCTAGAGCACCCATGATAAACATTCACTATTCTCTTCAAGATCCTGCCACTAGTACGACTTCAGTAAATAAACCAGGTTCTCTTTGAAGGAAAAAATTCTCTATCAAATATCAACTCCTTCTTCCCTAAACATCTTCATCTGCACACACCTCTAGAGCTTCTTTCCTACAGCACCAGGAAAAGAAGTTTCTCCATCGTGCTTCAATTTAAATCTTATAATCTATTCTTTTGATCTCTATCAATAGTTTCTAGAAACTTTCTCCATTAGTTTTCTTTCCTCTATTTTCAACCTCTTCCTATTAGGCTCTTCTCTCAGGCATAAAAATATGCTTGGCTCTCACAAATACAAACTATGCGTGTGACTTCTGCAGTTTTTCTTAAACAACTCAAGCTTCTCATAAAAATAATCTATACTTGCTGCCTCCTTTCTAATTCCCCATTCTCTTTTGCTAACTCGATACTGGGCTTCCAAATCTAAGTATCCCTCTGAAATTGTTCTGGAAAAGAAACCAATGATCTTCGCAATGTCAGATTCATATTCCTTTTTCTTATCTTCGTAATTGTTTGACCTGTATTTGGGTATTGTCTCTTTCTTTGGTGTCTAAGAAGTCCCTCCTGACTTCCTCATGCCATCTTCTTTTGTTGACTGCTCTTAATTTTTCCAGCCATAAAATGTTTTTCCCCCAAATTCTAGTCTTGGTTGGCTGAACCAAATAAACCATTTGCTCTACTGGTTTCAGATCACTCCTACAAGCAAAGATACCATGGTCTACTGCTTAAATCCTGAAACCTAAGGTTCATGCTGGAATGACAAATTGCTTACTAGACATTTTGAGTTGATTGTTTCATACCATCTCAAATCAGCATGGCTCAAATTAAACTCAATTATCTCCAGAAAACTTTATTCTCCTTGAATTTTCTAACTTTCATTTTCTTAACTGCTCCTCTTTCATCTCTACTCTGTGCTCAAAACTAGTGCATTTTATGTTCTCTTACCTTTCCTCTCCTTTCTGATACTATGATTAAAGCTTCATCTAGCAAGGTGCTGGTGGCTCACACCTGTAATCCTACCTACTCAGTAGGCAAAATCAGGAGGATCACAGTTTGAAGCCAACCTGGGCAAAAAGACCCTATATCGGAAAAAACCCTTCACCAAAAAGGGCTGATGGAGTGGCTCAAGGTGTAGGCCCTGAGTTCAAGCCCCAGTACCACAAAAAAAAAAAGTCTCATATGAACTACTACAAGTCTTAATTTCTCCCTCTCTCAAGCCTCTTTAGAATCTAGCCTACATAATACTGCTAAAGTGAGCTTTACCAAACATAAATCTAGCTACATTATTCACCAGTTTAAAACCTTTTAATCATTCCTCACTGAAGACAAAGTTCAAACATATTGTTAGCTATATTATATGACTTCAACCTTAACCCTTCTCAAACGAATAGTTTCACACTAGAAAGATTTTCTCAAATACATTACGCTATTTCTTGTGGCAGGGTCTTTCCACATACTGCTCTTTCTATCTAGCATGCCTTTTACCACCTTTCAAGATCCAACTTTTCTCATGCTTCGTAGGTAGGCACTCTACCATTTGAGTCATGCCCCTAGCTCTCAAGATCCAACTTTTCTATCCAAACTTTTGTGAACTACTGACCCAATCACCCAGAAAATATGACATTCTGCTAATTCAATACCCCACTGTCCCATACCTCTATTAATGCATCTACCAAATTTACTATAGTCAATTAAATACCTATCTTGTAAAAAGCTCCTTGAGCGTAGTGGGTCATTTGTTGATGATTTTTAAATCACCAATAATTAATAATGAACATTAGAGAGGTTCAATAAATATTTTTTGGTGAACAGAAACCTTTAAATTGCCCTTGATACTAAAGTATAATTATCCCATTTCAAAGATTAAGAGTCAAAAGAATTTAAAGAACTAGTGTAAGGTAATGGGTAAAGTGTTTCAGAAGTAGAAATTTTTTTAAATTTTTATTGCTTTATTATTCATATGTGCATACAATGCTTGGGTCATTTCTCCCCCCTATCTCAACCCCCTCCCTTCCCACCCACTCCACACCCTCCCTCTCCCACCCCCTCAGAAACTGGCAAGAAACTATTTTGCTTTAATTCTAATTTTGTTGAAGACAGAGTATAAGCAATAATAGGAAGGAACAAGGGTTTTTGCTAGTGGAGATAAGAATAGCTATACAGGGAATTGACTCGCATTGATTTCCTGTGCATGTCTGTTACCTTCTAGGTTAATACTTTTTGATCTAACCTTTTCTCTAGTTCCTGGTCCCCTTCTCGTATTGGCCTCAGTTGCTTTTAAGGTATCTGCTTTACTTTTTTTTTTTATTGTTTTATTATTCATGTATGATACAAGGCTTTGGGTCATTTCTCCCTCCTGTCCCGCACCCCCTCCCTTCCCCCACTCCACCCCTCCCTCTCCTCCCAACCCCTCAATACTGACCAGAAACTATTTTGCCCCTTATCTTTCTAATTTACTTGAAGAGAGAGTAATAGCCATAATAGGAAAGAACAAGGGTTTTGCTGGTTGAGATAAGGATAGCTATACAGGGCATTGACTCACATTGATTTCCTGTGCGTGGGTGTTACCTTCTAGGTTAATTCTTTTTGATCTAACCTTTTCTCTAGTTCCTGGTCCCTTTCCTATTGGCCTCAGTTGCTTTAAGGTATCTGCTTTAGTTTCTCTGCGTTAAGGGCAACAAATGCTAGCTAATTTTTTAGGTGTCTTACCTATCCTCACCCCTCCCTTGTGTGCTCTCGCTTTTATCATGTGCTCATAGTCCAATCCCCTTGTTGTGTTTGCCCTTGATCTAATGTCCACATATGAGGGAGAACATACGATTTTTGGTCTTTTGGCCAGGCTAACCTCACTCAGAATGATGTTCTCCAATTCCATCCATTTACCAGCGAATGATAACATTTCTTCTTCTTCATGGCTGCATAAAATTCCATTGTGTATAGATACCACATTTTCTTAATCCATTCGTCAGTGCTGGGCATCTTGGCTGTTTCCATAACTTGGCTATTGTGAATAGTGCCGCAATAAACATGGATGTGCAGGTGCCTCTGGAGTAAGTCACAGTCTTTTGGGTATATC